CGTACGCCAGTCCGTAAAGCGTTGTTCAACTCAAGATGCTCTCGTAGCCACTCCCTGTAAACAAACGAGAGAAACCTCGAACAAAGCGTCAATGAATAAAAACCAGTCGGTCTTGTGTTTAAAACAGCTCGCGAACACCTCTACGGAAAGGAATCTGTGCTATTCTAGAAACCGAACGGGTTCGGTGTGTCGCGTGCGTGTCACTCAGGAGCAGTTTGATGGTTTCAGGGAATCTACACGCGTTACAATAGTTTGTTTGCGACAGAGAGCAGCGCTAGGACTCAGCTTCGTTCGAGCGCTTTTTGACTCTTTATTTTCCTTAAAAAAAAAAAAGATGCTTCGTGTTTAATTAAACGCGGAAACGACTGTGGGAAACCCAGATATAATTAAAACAGTTGTTAAAATAAATACAGTTGCGTTGTACAAGAGTAGAAAATGATTTGTCGCGAGTTTCCTTACATCAGTCCTTGCGCAATCGAGGAGTAAACATTAAAACCAGACGCGCGATAACCACCGATGTGCTCTATCTCCAAATGTGCAGAATTCGCCTCTTTTTACGTGCCAAGAATCAGTTTAAAGTCAGTTCACCCCATGGTCTGCCCATGAGACGGCTTGCAGATGTTTTTGGTGTAATAAAAAGCATCAGGGCGACTCACGTTATTTCGTAAATCTTGCAGCGCTACACTCATCGTGCAGCATCGGCGCTCCGCACGCGACTAAGCCATCCCTCGCGCCTGAAACAAACATGATCAGTGAGTGTTAAAACCACCCTTCATCCATTCGCAGTCGCAGTTTTCCATCTGCAAAATACTGAAAACAGACTGACAGAAGCGATGCGTTAGCCTACCGCTGAACGTTTTCAGAAGACGGCGCGCATGATGGGTTGCTGTGCCACTGCCAACGACCAGCACGTCCTCTCCTCTGTGTATTACAACATAGAAAGATGTCTGAGGGAGATAGATAGAGATCAGCCTGTGCTCGCTCACTCTCTCTCTCTCTCATTCCCCCGCCCCTTTCGCTGTCATGCGCGCCGGCTCTCGAACCCCTGCCGCATCTGTATGGAGCGGGTTGCTGACGCTGTCATAAGCATCAAGTGGGATGAGCGCTAATGCCCTCTTCACGTACTCTTACAAATCTCAATTTGCCCCGTGTATACTTCTTGAGCTGCCATATGCTTCTTTAGAGATGAAAACGTCTTGACGTTATTCTTCAGATCAGTGCATTGGTTTATGGAGCATCACTACATAGATAGTTTTCCAAAGAACTAGGCTATATTAAAAGTTACTGGATAACTTCTCATTTTAATATAATTAAATAATAATTATTATTATCATTTAAAAGCGTATCTCCACCAATTGTAATATGAAATACGTGGCCTATAAAAATAAACATATTAATCTAAAACATATTAATATGGACTGTTTTGCTGGAAAACCAGATGTTTTAAAGACATAGAAATAGAATCAATGAATGCAACACTGCTGGAACATAAGAATCTTAACCCTATAAAGCCTGTATCATATTTGATACTCGGTGCTGGGTAATAGTTGATTACATGTCATCTAGATTATAATCAGATTCCAAAAACTTGTTCCAAAAAGTAACGAATTACAAATACTCACGTTACTGTAATGTAGTCGTTTTTATCAGAAATTGTACTTATTTTTAGTAGTTTAAAAATTGTATCAACTGTATTGAATTCCCCTGCTTGCAATTAGATTATATTACGTTTTAAAACATATTCAGATTACAGTTACTTTTTATGGATTACATGATCAAATTATTCATAATTTAGTTATTCTCATATGTATGAGATGAATAAATACTCAAGTTACTAAACACTGCCAATGTATAACTGACAAAAAAAAAATTA